GGGGGGGGCAGAGGGCCATCATCCTGCTCCCGTGCCACCGATGCAAAAAAAAAAAAGAGAGAGAGAGGATCTAGCCCAAATCCTTCCCCAGGTCACGTTTTGGGTTGCTTTCTTTCCCCCCACCCACCCCGCAACACACACACACACACACCTCGCCTTCTAAAAGGCGCACACAACAGCAGTAGGCGCTGAGCAAACTGCAAGGGGTGGACACCCCCCCTCTCTTTTTCCCCCATCTAGCACTGGGGTTTTCTTCTCCTCCCCCCCCCGCCCTGCTTCCTAGCACATAATGAAGAACCAGGGACGATCCGTCCCCCCCCAAAAGAAGCCTCTAATAGGAAGGCAGGCTTTGCCCGCTGCCTTTGCTTGCTAGCCTTCTCCTTCCATTTTTCCCCCTGCTAAAAAAAAACGGGGGGGAGGAGGTGGGAGAAAAAAGGAAAGAAAGCAGAAGAATCATCTCCTTTCCGCTCTAGCTACCTGTCTTCTTTGGCTTCCCCCAGTTCCGAAAGGATGGATTGGATTTTTTTTGCATCAAGAGAGGGAAGAAAAAGCCAGGACGCTTCTAAATTCTACTGGAGTCTTATTTTGAGAGACTGATATATATATTTTTTGATTCTTCCCATTTTCCTTCCATCCCTGTTTCATTTCCCCATTGGGTGCATTTTTATTTATTTATTTATTTTTGGTCGATGGGGGGATGGTTCAGGGGGAAAAAAATTTGGGAGGCTGGCTGCATTCCTGTCCGGCGAGGCGGTGCAGCGCTGTAGCGCTGTTGACCTTTCTGCTTTTGGGCTTTAGCGCTATATCCCGTCGTTTGCCCTAGGAAAGAAAAAAGTGGGGGGAAAGGAAATTACAGCTGTAGCGATGTGTGCAGAGTCTAGAGACAGATTTTGAGAACCAAAAAAAAAGCCACCCAACCCAGGGGTGACAACAACAACAAAAAATCCAGAAGAATCCGGCTGGAGAGAGTGGGGGAGACCACCCGAGACAGTGTCTTTGTATATGATTGGAAACTGGGGGGAGGCAGAGCCTTCCCCCCCAGCTTCAGGACTGCAGCTGGGTTGGAAGACTTTGTATGTAACCGTATCTGACCTCTGCCGAAAATCCTGGCGTCCGTTCCTTTCTTTCTTCATCTTGGGCAAGGGGGTGGAGGGTGGGCTCGGGGGGAGTGAGGCGGCCTCCATCAATCTCCAGTTGATGCCCATGAATGCGAACACCATGATATTTTTGATCTTGGGGGCTTCGATTGTTATGGTAAGAAACTCTTCATTTCCACCCCCCCTTCCTCTAATCTGGTCTCCTCTTGCTTGCTCCCTCACCCCCCCAAACCCCCTTGATGTTGTTTTTCTGGGTCTCGTCTTTTTACCTCCCCGCCCCTGTGCTCCGGCTCTGTCCCATTTTGATGTGTGTCTCTTATATAATAATAATTAATAATTTTTTTCCTGAAAAAAAGAGGACCAGCTGCGATTCCATTGCCCCAATTTTGGGGGGGGGGTTAGGAAGGAAGGGGGAGGGTTGGCCGCAATCAAACGCAAGGACATGGTTGATTTGATGACTCCGGGCTCTGATCGGCTGCCTTCTGGGTTCTTTACAGGCAATTGCATGCTTGATGGACATGAATGCGCTCTTAGACCGATTCCACAATTACATCTTACCGCATCTGAGGGGAGAAGATCGTGTTTGCCACTGCAACTGTGGAAGGTAAGGCGTGCACGCATGGACCAACCTCCTCCAGTTGACTGTATAAGCTGGGTGGGTGGATGGGGGGAGAGAGTGATAAACAGAAGATGCAAGGACGGGACCGGCATCTTGCGTGGATTTTGTCCTCTTTTGGGTGCAGGGAAACTGATTGAGTTGGGTTAGAAATGCAGGGGTTCATAGATGTCTCGGAAAGACCCTCCCTCCCCTCCCTTGTCATTTTGGACAGATGCCTTGAAAATATTTCTTGTTCCATCTCTTGCTCTAAACCTTACACCAAGCACAACCCTATAAGGTGGGTTGGGATAATCATCCTTGGATTGCAGATAGGGAGGGGGCTGGGAGCAAGGTGGGCTTCTAAGCGGCGGTGGCGGGGTGGTGGTGCTTGTGAACCCTTTACCACATCATTTCCTTACATCTATCCCTTGTCAAGCGAACAATGTGGATTGACCTAGGAATGTGCTTAAGGTTTTCAGGCAGGCTTGGCCTAAGAGGGACCGACCCTCACTCCTTGAGATAACAAGGTCAAGCAAATCCCTGGCAGAAGATAGTCTCTCCGTAGCAATTTGCTTTGGAGGGAGCATGGGGACCCCATCTCCAGGAGCAGTCTACCTCTTAAGTCACAGGTCAACAGGGCACCAGCAACCTGGAAAGGCCTAGCTCGCGGGTCCCGCGTTGGCTTCATCCAAGGAGCCTCGGGTTAAAATCCGGAGGGACTTTTGCTCTGATAGAAGAAACGTTTCTTTCTGTGCCAGCAGGGCCCTAAATAAGGCAAGAGCACCCCACTCCTCTCCTTTTTTTATGAGGGCAAGGCTCGCACCCGATCCCCAGCGTAGAGTGGATGAATGCCAGAGAAGGCTGGTAGCAATTTTGAGGAAAGAAGTTTAATCTTCCATTGAAAACCCCGTTCGTTGCCCTATCATCGAGGGCTACTTCCCTGCCTGTGTGTGAATAGAGTTAGACCTGGAAGCTGTTCAATTTATTACTGTATTATTATTTTTCATATACACATTGCATCCTTACCTCCTTCATTCTCCCTGTTCTCTGGTTGTGGTTACGGCCGTTGCCTTAGAAATGGTGTTTTTTTCCTTCGTTCAAAATTTTGTGCGTCGTTTTGAGGGCTTGAACGGTCGAGATGCTGAGGGTTTCGTGATTATTACCTCCATTGGCCGGACCGGCGGCGTGTATTAGGATGAGACCTTTCGAACGACATCTTCACCTTTTCTTTTAGGATTTTTTGTTCTCGGGCTATGATCTAGCAATCGTCTTGGTGAAGCTTCGAGGGGTGCCACAGTCAAGAGACAATTCCAAATAGCCTGGATGGTCAAGAATATTATTTGAATTATATTTCGAGATCCATGTTATTAGGGGTGCTTTGATAGCTTAAAAAGTTTATACAGGGATGGTTTTTACAAAGAGCACCACTGCTCTTAAAGGTCCCCTTAGCTGTTTGCAAAATGCCAGGCTCACCAGCTAGCAAGCTGGCATTTTCTCTTAAGAGACTGTGCGGTAGAGTGGGTGGAGATATAGAAACCTGCGTTGAAGACCAGAATGGATTTTTTTTTTGAAAAAAAAAATGTTCAGAGGAGGTTTAGAAAAGCTTGACGGCTTGTCCATTAATGGAATCTTAATAGGTGGGGATTTTTAAAAAGCACTGTTTAACCGAGAGCTGTTTCAAAATTGGTTTTAAAAATGGCTTCAGATATATTTCCTCTGTTTTGTGTAAACAAATTTAAGTCTTTTTTTTTTTTAACAAAAGGTTCCCATCTGTTTTCTTGTACATCACTTTGGGAATCCTGATAGGCAATAAATGGATTATTCACTGAATTAATTAATTAATTAAGAGCAGATTTAACAGGCACACCATATATGAGGTCTAGTATACTGTTTGAACAGCGGCGGCTTAAAATTATCACTAGAAAAGTTGGGTTGCGGTGCACGATGTGTTCAAAAAGACATTAATTAGAAACCAAAAAAGAAGAGAAAAGAATAAAAAAGGAGGGTCTCCCATGTTATTAAGCATTAAATAGATTTTTGCTTTACATTTCTGTAGTGCTGCTAAAAGCTGCTGCCTTCTGTCCTTCTACAAATGTGTGCAGCACCTTTTGACGAGAAGTATTTAAATATTTATAAAATGAAATAAAATAAATACATAGGATTAGGTTGGTTTCCCTTTTTCATAAAGCCTTTGCAGATTTCTTCATGGATTTGGTAGAAAGAATGGGAGATACATATTTTTTTTCCAAGAAAAATTAAAGTTGTTAGAGGCACAAGGATTTAATGTCTCCTTTGGAATCCCTCTAACCAGGTTTGTGTTACTGATTTAGGATGCTCTTCTTCTCTCTCCTTCTCTCCTCCTCCCACAAACAATCTGCTCCTCTTTGGTTAGTCGAACCAGGCCAGATCCATGGAAGTTAGAATCAGACTGTGAAATCTGGAGCCGGGTTCAAGATGTGATGCCAGGCTCATAAGGCCCTAAACAGTTTAGGCTAATACCCCACAGCAGCTCACTGTTTGCATTCTGGGACAGGGTGAGAGAATTCTCAGCCACAATAAACAGAATGTGTCTTCCCCAACACAGTTTGACAGCTCTTGAACTTCCGTAGCTCTCCCCTGTGGAATTCTGGGAAGTGTAGTTTGGGAGGGCTTAGAATTCTAGGTCCTGCTTTAAGGGAATAAACTCCTTGGCATGCAGTTCTAAGCCTCAGGATTCTGTAGGATGGATTCAGCACCATGGACGACTCCTGTCAGGGGAGAACAAAAATTACAGAATGGTTTCCTTTGAAGGCGGCAGGATCAGCTGCTACTTCTCATTCCTGCCCATCCCCAGCCTGGACATTGGGGGATTCTGGGATTTGTAGTCCCCCACCCACCCATAAAAAGGCCAAGTTCCAGATTGAAAGGATATTGTATTGGGAGATGGCCGTGCCAGGAGGCAGAGTGGGGCAACCACTCCAGGCAGGAAATGGTTTGCTATTTATTTTGCAATTGTTGTATTTTTTCCCCCTTGCCAGGAATGGGGGAAAAAAGATGTGTGGGATTTTCTGTGCTGTGTGCCAACCTAATTTGGCTGGGTTCAGCTCCTGAAAGCCTTGGTGTGGGGTCAAGGGTATGGAAGCGCCGTTTGCTGCTCTGACTCAGATGGCCAAATACAGTATCAGAGGGTGGCCTGCTTCTCCTTGCCAGGATGGGAATAATGGCAACCTGGGGCACTGATCCTGTGTGTCCTGTATTATCGATTTTGCTGCTCTGACTCAGATGGCCAAATACTGTATCAGAGGATTGCCTGCTTCTCCTTGTCAGGATGGGAATAATGGCAACCTGGGGACCTGATCCGGTAGCTATGTGTCCTGTATTATCGAGGGTGGTCCTCTCTCTGGATGGTTGGCAGAGGCCAATCCTCTGTATGAAGACCACATTTAGGGGCCTGTATGGCAGGTGGAATGAGGGACGTGGTGGCGCTGTGGGCTAAACCGCAGAAGCCTCTATGCTGCAGGGTCAGAAAACCTAGCAGTCGTAAGATCGAATCCATGTGACGGAGTGAGTGCCCGTCGCTTGTCCCAGCTCCTGCCAACCTAGATGTTCGAAAGCATGCAAAGGCGATTAGATAAATAGGTACCACCTCAGTGGGAAGGTAAAACAGCGTTCCCTAGTCTCACTGGCCATGTGTCACTGGAAACTGTCTTCGGACAAGCGCTGGCTCTACGGCTTGAAAAACGGGATGAGCGCCGCCCCCTAAAGTCGGACACAACTGGACTAAAAATGTCAATGGGAACCTTTACCATTACATCAGGTGGAACTCCCAGAGTGGGGGATTTTGGGATTTGCGGTCCATAAAATCAAAGAAAACCCATACCTGAAAGCTCAAGTGACTGAAGACAGGTTATCATATCTTAGATGTGCCACAAGAACAGACTCTCTCTTTCTTGGTGATTAAAGGTGGAAGAAAAATAATAATAGAAGTGTGTATTTCTGAGTTGTTGGTCAAAGACCTGGCAGTGGGAACCTGGAGGTTGTATAAAACACTGGTCCAGCTTGGGGGCCCTAACAGAGTCATGCTCTTATGCGTGATGGGAAGAGGTGGATTTCTCCAGATGACAGGGAGGTGGAACGAGAGTTCCTTCTTTCCACGCTGCTCTAACTGACCGAGCCTGGAGGCTTTAGGAAGCACAGTGTGAGGACCTCCCAAGCTTGAACTTAAAAATAGGATCAAGGTTTTGTGGGGAATCCCTGGGTCAACCTTGCTGCTATTCTCCCTCCCTGACCTCTACCAATCAGGGAGAAGTCTCTCACGTGGTCCAGGGTTGGAAAAAACGGTTGCATGGAGCTTAATCTGGGTTTGCAGCCTGGGAGAGAGCTGAACCCTACTTTGCAGCCAAGAAGAGGTTGTAAGAAGTGTCCTCCTGGTTTGCATCTTAGGGAGAGCTGGGCCCTACCTTGTGGCCTGGGAAGGGGTTGCAGGGAGCGTAGTCCTGGTTTGCAACCTAGGAGAGAACCGAGCCCTGATTTGCAGCCTGGGAAGGAGCTGCATGGAGCTTAGCCCTGATTTGCAGCCTGGGGGATATCTGGTCCCTTGTTTGCAGCCCTGGACATGAAGCTCATCTCTAATTTGCAGACAAGGAGGTTATTTATTTTGCAGGAAGGCAATGATGGCAATTCCTAGATGTCAAGTTCTCGGATCTCTAGCAGTAGAATTCATGCTATGGTTCGTAGTGAACGAAAAGGGTAAAGGTCTCTGGCTGAACCCTGGTTTCCAGTCAAGCAAAACCAAGAATAGCCGGCCGTCATTGCCTCTAGATGGCCGGATCTGTGGCTGCATCTCCACCTTGCTCTTTCCCGTTTCTCCTTGTGATGCGGATGTGGGTTGCGTGCTGTTTTCATTCCTGAGACTCCAGAGGAGGTTCTCCTGATCAGCTTCTCTTCCCTTTCCCTCGAGGGATGGCCCAGTTTTTACCATTGTGAGTTTGGTGCCCTTTTTGAAGCTCCTGTCAGTCTTCCCCCTC